TGGCCCTGATTTCCAGAGTTGGCTCCAGTTCTCTGGGGTTTAACCCCAATTCCCAGTGTTTGGCCCCAATTCCCAGGGATTTAGCCCCAATTCTCAGGGGTTTGCTCCCAATTTCCAGGAGTTTAACTCAAATTCCCAGGGTCTTAGCCCCAATTCCTAGGGGTTTGACCCCGATTCCCAGTGTTTAACCCCAATTCCCAGGGGTTTCCCCCCAATTTCCAGGGGTTTAGCCCCATTTCCCAAGGTTTGTCCCCAATTCCCAGGGGTTTTCCCCCAGTTTCCAGGGGTTTTCCCCCAGTTTCCAGGGGTTTGGCCCCAATTCCCAGGGATTTAGCCCCAATTCTCAGGGGTTTGTTCCCAATTTCCAGGAGTTTAACCCAAATTCCCAGGGGTTTAGCCCCATTTCCTAGGGGTTTGTCCCCAATTCCCAGGGTTTGTCCCCAATTCCCAGGGGTTGAGCCCCATTTCCTAGGGGTTTGTCCCCAATTCTCAGGGGCTTAGCCCCAATTCCCAGGGGTTTGGCCCTGATTTCCAGAGTTGGCTCCAGTTCTCTGGGGTTTAACCCCAATTCCCAGTGTTTGGCCCCAATTCCCAGGGATTTAGCCCCAATTCTCAGGGGTTTGTTCCCAATTTCCATGAGTTTAATCTCATTTCCCCCAGGGGTTTGTCCCCATTTCCCCCAGGGGTTTGTCCCCATTTCCCCCAGGGGTTTGTCCCCATTTCCCCCAGGGGTTTGTCCCCATTTCCCCCAGGGGTTTGTCCCCATTTCCCCCAGGGGTTTGTCCCCATTTCCCCCAGGGGTTTGTCCCCATTTCCCCCAGGGGTTTGTCCCCATTTCCCCCAGGGGTTTGTCCCCATTTCCCCCAGGGGTTTGTCCCCATTTCCCCCAGGGGTTTGTCCCCATTTCCCCCAGGGGTTTGTCCCCATTTCCCCCAGGGGTTTGTCCCCATTTCCCCCAGGGGTTTGTCCCCATTTCCCCCAGGGGTTTGTCCCCATTTCCCCCAGGGGTTTGTCCCCATTTCCCCCAGGGGTTTGTCCCCATTTCCCCCAGGGGTTTGTCCCCATTTCCCCCAGGGGTTTGTCCCCATTTCCCCCAGGGGTTTGTCCCCATTTCCCCCAGGGGTTTGTCCCCATTTCCCCCAGGGGTTTGTCCCCATTTCCCCCAGGGGTTTGTCCCTGTTTCCCCCAGGGATTTAACCCCAATTTCCAGGGGTTTGACCCCATTTCTCCAGCTTGGCCAGGCCCAGGGGACCCGTGTGCAGCTGACAGGGGATGAAAATCCCACTGAAGGTTCTTAATCCCCCGTAATCTTTAATCTGACCTGGCTCTGGCCCATCCCTGGGGTTACCTCTCACATCAGCACTCGCTCCAGCGCTGGATCCTCCTCCCCCACCAAAAATAATCCCTTCTGAATCATCAGAGCTGGAACTGCAAAAAACATCAACTTTCTCCCCAAAACAGCTGCTGGGAGGAGCCCCCGCTCTCCCCCCTCGCTCCAAACCCCCAGTTTCTGGTGCACCCAGTTCTCTGCAGGGGGTTGGGATGGAAACTGAGCCAGGATTTGGGGTCAGGGCGCTGCACCGTCCCCTTTGCCGACACCCCAGCAGCTCCCCAGGCTGTTTTTGGGTGGGAATGGGGTGCTGGTGGAATTGGGGGTGGGTTTTTGGGGGGGTCTCTGAAGCACTGGAGGGTTATTTAATGCAAAAGCCAAGGCTGGGAGGAGGATGTGGGGTGGGTTTGGGGTTGGAACTCTTGTCCCCAGGGTGGAGGGTGATGGGCAGGATGTTTTCTAGGAGGCTGAAGGTGGCTCGTGGCAGGTACCAAGCCAGGAGGTGAGTTAAACTGGGCTGGGGAGGTAAAAGGAACTGGTGGCCCAGTTTGGAGGGGTCATATCCAGGTGCTGGGCTATTAAAACCAACACGGCATCCACATGAAGGAGCCCAGGGCAGCGCCGGTGGCCGCCCCCGCCAGCAGCCCCAGAGCCATCTGGTCCCCAGAGACCCGGTAAGGATCCTCGCGCACGATGACGTGGGTCACCCCGGGAGCTGGAGAAGGCAAAAACTGGGGTGAGCTGAGGGGGTGACAAGGGGGGGACACACACCCACCATCCTCCTGGCACCCCCAGATGCCAACCAAGGGGTGACACACACACCCACCACCCTCCTGGCACCCCCAGATGCCAACCAAGGGGACACACACACACACACCATCCTCCTGGCACCCCCAGATGCCAACCAAGGGGTGACACACACACACACACCACCCTCCTGCCACCCCCTGATGCCAACCAAGGGGACACACACACACACACACCATCCTCCTGGCACCCCCAGATGCCAACCAAGGGGTGACACACACAC